AAAAAATTCAAATTTCAACATATCAAAGCGATAATAAATGGGAATGCCGACATACAACATTTCAGTTTTCTCACAAACAAAAAATCAAAACTGTTTCTCAATATTAAAAGATTCAAAGGGACAAGTAAAAAGGAAAGCAGTTCCTTAAAACATATATAATAAACAAGCTATATAATTCTTGAAAACATATTTTCCTTTCGAAGTTTATAGAGTCATATGATGAGAATATTTTTAACAATAGATAGATGAAGCTGATAAGTATAGTCGGTTTCTTGCCTAGATGTGTCAAATCATTCAGTTCTACTTGAAAATTATTCTCTGTCAACCTTCTAAGGCTATCCATAGACTTGTACACAGGATTCGCAAAGGGCGGTGCCGTCAATTCGTGAATGACCATATCTTGATAAGAGATAAGGCGCTTGCTCTCTAATCAGTCAGCCAATTGTAAATTACACAGATATCAAACTGTTGATGGACAACCCACCAGCCAGCCCGGATTCGAAAACCACCAAAAAATAGATGAAAAAAATTCGTTCATTTACACAGGCAAACCGCCCGTACGTGATTTTGCACACATCTCCTCGTGAAATCGACACCAAATCTTGTATATATCACCTCAATCTCCGAGCTGTATATCACTGTGAAAAAATCTCTTGTTGTTAGAACGCAATTCTAAACTGTTCTCTGACACGCTGGACGTGTTAATTGCTGTCAATTAGCAGAACCCGACAACTTTCTCATGAAATGAATTGTTTTCCGATAACATCGCTGACATCTTTACTGACCGTTTGCTATCGCTCTTGCATAAATTTATCCTTGCGCAGATTCGCTTCCTTTTGATGGGGTGATCAAGAGAAGATAAGAGCGTTTACGAAAGGAAACTCGAACCCAAGAAAACCCAAGCACCTGCTGCGAGAAGACAGGCAACGTTCTTCCAAACACACAGGTGCTCGTTGTCCATATGATGCAAAGCGTGACGTTTCGTCACCTTGTGTTTTGACATCAATTTCAGCACGCGCTATCTAAAAACTCGATACATATCAATCGGGATGGCAAAACGAGCGAAAAAACAGAAATAGTGTCTGAATTTCCCATTTTCCTATTTCCCCGTAAACTAGACAACCAACCGATAGGCGAAAGGTCTTATTCTAAGATGTTTATCACACCGTTTGCCGTTTCTTGTACCCGAAGTTGTGTGCAGAAAGAAAATATTTTGTCCCATTCCACACGAAAAAAGGTCTGTTTGTTTACTTGATAATTTAAAAAAGTCCCCAACTATCAACCCTCTTGAAACAACAACTTAAAAGACCATTTCTGGTCGTAAATTGAGCGAAATCGTCTCATCTTTGCCTCAAAATCAGGGGATTCTAGCAGCTTGACATGCGATATACTTACTTTTAAGAATTCCTTACCGATTTCGATCAAGATCTTTTTGTTTGGACACCCCTTGTTTAGAACTAGTGTCAGCTTAATGCCGCAACTCTAAAAGGATCTCTTTAAAACGGCAAAAATTGGATCCGATGTTATCGTTTGGAACAGACATCTTGATATAGTGCACACTAAATGAATTACATATTGCACATAGCTTCCATTTTTCAAATATTTCAATGTGGGGAATTTTCAGATTTTTTAAACAGTGCCTAAATGAAAAAACCCGTCTGAATTAAATTTTTAAAGGGATCAATTTGACACTTTAAACGACGCCCCAACGCTTTGTTATGATTCGTGTTTGATTGAATTAATTCAACCAAGATATATCATCTAGATTCGGTGCTCATTGATGTTTTCAGTAGTCATTGAACTATAGCTCTGAAACTATTAATATTTTCAAAATAACTTTAATGAATAATATCAAAAAGAAAACTTAATTAAATCACTGACATTTAGTTTGCGTTGATGAATACGAACAGTTGACAGTTTGTGAAAATATTTTCCGTTCCTATTCATTTAAATTTCAATTTAGATTAATACACAAAGTGAAAACTTATCTCTTGAAAATCAGATAGTTGATAAGAAAGACCAACGTGTTTTCGTGTAATATTTAAGTAATGTGTTAAAAACATTATACGGCCCACAGTAATAAGATGTTTGTCGCCTTATCTCCAGTGAAGCATTAAATGACTGCCGATTCCGACAAGGGGGGTAACAATGCCGTCTTTCAGGGTGGCTATCCACTAAAAAGTTTCATTGTAAGTCAAGAGTTGGAGGAAGGCAAAAACCAGTCTTTTAGACCAGCCGCCTTGTCGCCAGTTGTGTTTGATTGAAAACAAGTCGTGTGAAAAAATAGTTCAGACGTTATCATAAGATCTAGATACATAAACTAAGGCCTACAGTAATACAGTAATTTTTAACATGGACGATTACGGTTTTAAAAGAAATTTCAATGTTATCATATATTTTTATAAAATTGCTCAAGGGCGTTTAAATTCTTAAAACATGTTTTATTCGTTTTAAACAAGCTGAGTCAAAATAAATCATACATTAGAGCCACCGTTTGCTACACAAGAACTAGTAACTGGTTTGTTTTACATATCTAGATTATCAACCACGGCAGAAAACACGATTTGATGAAGAATGTGATTAAGCCTCGCCCTAATATTTATAATTCGAAACAAAGGCCTTGACATTATCTTCCCACAGAGGTTACTCAAGTCATATCTTGATTGTGTAATAAAAAACATCATAGACAAAGTGTTAATCTGTCACAACTTTGTTTGATAAAATACAGTTGTTACAGTATTAATGGTTTGTTAATTCTTTAAACAGTGCTTTTCTTGCACAAAACAGATTAATGCATGCAAATATAATTCGTCTGTATGTAAATGAGTTATTCATTTTTTAACCCTAAATAAATTGGTTTCAGTTTTTATTAACCCAGTAACCATGTTGTTCAAGAATATTCTCTTGGGTGTTTTAATGCTCTGATATTTACAGTCATTGTTTGTATTCATAACACGAACAGTAAAGGTAAACATTGGATGTCTTTAGCGGGCATGTGTATATATGTATGTGTTGCGGTCTTGCATACGTTTCGCTATTGTAACTGTGACGTGCCTCTCGTTAAACCATCTACACGATTCACACACCTTTTAACCCTGGCAGACAATGAAATTTGACAAAGGGTTTAAAGTCTGAGCGGAAAACGCCATGTACAAAAGTCACCTATTCACTCTCAGCCACTGAAAAATATATTTATAATTAATGTATCTAACTTATTATATCTATTAATGTATTTAAATTACTGAATCACATGATATGCTTGTTTATGGAATTATGTAGATTTGGATCACGTTGGTTTATAAAATAACTGAGATATCTGTTGAAGCACGAGGGCGGATTTCCACACACTGTCAGTACTTATATAAAAGCAACGTTTTTCAAAGAGCCCAGACATTGATAGAAACAAACGTTACTAAAATTACAGAAAAAATCATTCAAAGATCCCTTAAAAATTAACTTCTACAGCCATTGACGGAGAAAATGAATTCTATCTGCTATCGGCATCAATGTAGGCGGCCCACACAGTATGTAGGTTGTCATCGTGATGAAATCAGTCGCTGTGTCCATGGAAAGAACACGGTGATTGTTGTCATCCCCCGCCCCCGCTATCCTCAGGAGGGAGAATAATGCCCCTCTCAAAACATATGTATAAACACCACAACTGGTGTTGTACCCTCCCTTCATAAATATAAACAAATTGATTTGTCAACTGCAGTGAGAACGTGATGCTTTGTTATGTGTTATACACTGAAGAGTAGTGATTCACACGTGACCTTGTTTAACAGTTTTGTGTCTATGTGATATAGCAATAACGATAGTAAAGGTATATAAATAGTTTATTGACTACCCCGTGACTACGTAATATATGCACATAATTTATACAGAAATGTCTGAATGATAAGAAGATTCTTATCCTCTCAGCAATAATGAAATCACCATTAAAAAAAAGCGCAAAGAGAGGCGGTTATTTTGAAAAAATGATTCCATATGCCATGCCATTATAAAAGCCGACGAACCCGTCATTAAACTCTCCCTGCATTTCTAGTTAAAAAATCACATTTAATTTTAATGTCTTAATTTCAACTATCGGCTATTTGCAGTCATTAAGACTATGTGCTATTAAAATAGGAAAACTGACATTTGCATAACAATGAAATATCGTTTATTAATAATAACAGATTCAACAGTTTTATAGTAACATATGTAATTGAGCGTAGATGTACAAGGAAGAACTGATACAAACAGATGTAACGATAAACACATGCAGCAGAAATTGAGAGTAGGCTGTCAGTGGCTGATGCTTGCAATAGACACGTCTGAGACCGAAGCCACCATGAAATACCGATAAGATATACACACAGACGGAGACTCCGGTCTTGTTAATATCATAAATATTTCTATATAAACACAACATGTTATGACGCCTGGCTTTAAATCGTTTATCTTATCATAAGAATCATTGTTGTGTTTAGATTTCTATAACGTAATACATTTTTTCTTTAGTTTGTTTACTTTACTTTAAATTGTAACAAAATATATTTTTAAACATTTACTATATTTTATGTCATTTATACATATATTATTTAATATAATAAATGTGATGGACTGTCAACCTGACACAAATGTATGCAATATCAGAAATAATATGCAAACTCTATAAACACAATTGTATAAAGATATGAAAGTTTATATCGCAACTGTGAATGAATTTTTTTCGGGGTCAGCACAGGTGGTTTGATAAGAAAAGGGAAATGTTTAAATCGGTATCACTCAAACCTTCCACGGCATAATGAAAATCATTTAACGTCTTCGGTATAAACACTCGCCAAAGGAAATATGCAAAGGATGTGACGAAAATCAAACCACAAAGTTATAGCTGGAAAACAAAACGATCTCAAATGACAGGCAAATTTAATAAAATGTATAACATTAAAGTGCTACGGGCCGGCGGGATATCGCCTGTTTGACGCCGAGTAGAAGGGAAATATTTTGTTACATACCTTTAATATACAGCTGTTCTATGCAGGGAGTGGTCGCAGACCCGCGCCGTCACACTCGGTGTGCTGTCAGACTCGCTACTACCGTCCTCTCAAATTGCACCCCAAAAACCGGTAGCGAATTTCACCAGGCGAGGAAATGCGAGGTGGAATTTAAGCCTTCAGTAGGCACGTGACTTGTACTTGCCTTGTCGATTCCACAATGGTCGCGAGCGTATCACAGCCATCACGCACCGTGACGTAGTCGATTGCAGATACATTAATATGCATCACGATTTCGCGGCAAATCTTCTAGCGCGTGTTTTGGCGATCTTCTTAGAGGTTTGCTGGGTTTGTTTGAATGACGTTTTCAACAGTCGAGCGAGGAAGGGTTTTATCTGATAAAACGAAAATGGACCTGGAAGACAAACAACGATTGTTTCACGATCTTTACCGTTCATATCGGCTGTAATTATTTTTTCACCAACGCCTCTTTGTATTCCGTCTCGCGATGGAGTAGAAGTTTTTAGTTTAAACAATGTTTTTATTTCTGATATACGACAAGATTTGACATGCCCCGTTTGTCTCTAGATCTTCCAGAACATGCTCTCTAAAAATATCCAGGCAAGTTGGATACCAGGCATCAAACACGCCATCACACGTTTGACTTCAAACATCTCATATGTATTTGCTTTGAGAAAGGTGCTGGAACTAGCTTCATTTGTAACTACTATTTTAATCATCCCAAAACACATACGATGAGTCCTTTTGTGGGGGAAACAACTTGATGAACCAAATATTCATTACACTTTATATATAAAACAACTTTTAAATTTATTGCGTTGATGTTAGATACTGATTTATGTAACTTATAGGTAAGGGTTGTGAAATATATAAATAGACAGTACTTATAGAATCGAAAACATTGATCACAGAAGAAAGGAAAGTGCACATAGCATCAACAAAAGTAGGCATAGCGAATAGAGGAAAAGAAACTGAACTTAAAAAAACTAAGAAAGTAAGCATTGTCAATAGAAGAAGGTAAAAAAACACAAAGTAGCAAAGAAATTGACCATCGTGAACAAAATAAGGAAAGTGCCGATAAAAGAAAAGAAAGGAAATGCACTTAACAGCAAATATATTAACCAAGGCGAATAGGAGATAGAATATTAGACATACCAACAAATATATTAACCAAGGCGAATAGGAGATAGAATATTAGACATACCAACATAGAAATTAACAATGTGAATGAAAAAAGGAAAGAGCACAGAGCAACAGCTGAAAATAAACAAGGTAAACTGCTCAAAGAAAGTGCACACAGAAGCAAAGACATTAGGCTTTGTGGATAGAAGAAAACGAAGTTCACATAGCCATCAAGAAATTCTGTATTGTGAATAGAAGAAAGTACAGTTCACATAGCAAAATAGAAAGTATGTATTGTAAATAGAAGAAAGTAAAGTTCACATAGCAACAGAGAAAGTATGTATTGTGAATAGAAGAAAGTAAAGTTCACATAGCAACAGAGAAAGTATGCATCGTGAATAGAAGAAAGTAAAGTTCACATAGCAACCAAGAAAGTATGCATCGTGAATAGAAGAAAGTAAAGTTCACATAGCAACAGAGAAAGTATGTATTGTGAATAGAAGAAAGTAAAGTTCACATAGCAACAAAGAAAGTATGCATTGTGAATAGAAGAAAGTAAAGTTCACATAGCAACAGAGAAAGTATGTATTGTGAATAGAAGAAAGTAAAGTTCACATAGCAACCAAGAAAGTATGCATCGTGAATAGAGGAAAGTAAAGTTCCCATAGCAAAAGAGAAAGTATGCATTGTGAAAAGAAGAAAGTGAAGTACACATAGCAACAGGGAAAGTAGGTATTGTGAATAGAAGAAAGTAAAGTTCACATAGCAACCAAGTAAGTATGCAAGTGAATAAAGCATTGTGAACAGGGAAAGAAGAATTGAAAAGTAAAGTTCACATAGCAACCAGAAAGTAAAAGTATGCATCGTGAAGTATGCATTGTGAAAGAAAGAATAGCAAAAGAAAGTATGTATTGTGAATAAAGTTCACATAGCAACCAAAGAAAGTGAATAGAAGAAATAAAGTTCACATGTGAAGGGAAAGAAGAAAGTAAAGTTCACATAGCAAAAGAGAAAGTATGCATTGTGAAAAGAAGAAAGTGAGGTACACATAGCAACAGGGAAAGTATGTAATGTGAATAGAAGAAAGTAAAGTTCACATAGCAACCAAGTAAGAATGCATCGTGAATAGAAGAAAGTAAAGTTCACATAGCAACAAAGAAAGTATGTATTGTGAATAGAAGAAAGTAAAGTTCACATAGCAACAAAGAAAGTAAGTATTGTGAATAGAAGAAAGTAAAGTTCACATAGCAACAAAGAAAGTAAGTATTGTGAATAGAAGAAAGTAAAGTTCACATACCAACAAAGAAAGCAATAGAAGAAGTAAAGTTCACATCGGCATTGTAAATAGAAGAAAGTAAAGTTCACATAGCAACAGAAAAGAATTCAGTAAGAAAGAAAGTAAAGTATAGAAGAAAGTAAAGTTCACATAGCAACAAAGACACTAAGTATTGTAAATAGAAGAAAGTAAAGTTCACATACCAACAAAGAAAGTAAGTATTGTGCAAAGAAGAAAAAAAGGATCACATAGTAACACCAAAAGTAGGCATTGTGAATGGAAGATAAGAAATGGTAGAAGAGAGGTTAAACAATGCGAATTTAAGAAAGGAAAGTTCAAATAGCAGCCAAGAAATTAAAATGATGAAATTTGAAATGTCCTCCACTTGTCTCACATATAACTTTGTGACAGTTTTACTGAGATCGTGAATGATGAACCTGATTAAATGACTCTGAGCAATAGTCATAAAACACTCTTTGGAATATTCATACGAGGAGAGAAAGAAATAAGTAAGATGAATAGAATCAAAGCAAGTACATAGAAGCAAACGTATTACATCAGGTGTATAAGGGCACAGGCGCTAAGCAAGTCCAACAGACGCAACGAGAACTACAAGAAAATAACCTTATCAAATATATAGCTAATTACAGAAGCGTGTATAGAGAGGCTTTTTTCAGGCGTTTGGATTACAGTTAGAGACCGACCATTTGGTATTCTTTGACGGGGTAGGAAGGGGTGGAGTTTGTATTGAGCTTAGAATATTTTAAAATTAAAACCATGAACATGTATATTTTAGAAGAACAATTCTTTTAACAATGCAGTTTGACAGACATTTCTTTTGTCAACAGCCTAAAGCATAATTATATACAACGATTTGTAATTGAATATATATATTGTCGATAAAATCCCAATGGTAGGTCCCTTAATTACATTTGCACACTATGATTAAAGTACACTTGGTCAGACAGACAGACAGTTTGGTACAGTTGGTATGAGCTGTTATAGACCAGACATTCACTTGTCTCCTGACACGATATGTCAAAACAAATGGTACAACAACCCACACCTTGTAAATATCATCAAACGTGCTTTGCTACGCGTACATGTTTGTAAATATAAGATAAACATATTTATTGCCACTTGACCCTCACATAAAACAAGACTCCGAGTATGAATGATGCTTATGTTTGAAAATCCTATAAACGTTAACAGCGAGGCGGTGACAAAAGCTATCATTAATCATTATAAATTACTGTATCAGAAAGACTACATAATAAAGCTCAGGTTTCAAAGATATTACTCAAAGCATGCCAAGAACACTAGATTCTTTCACGTTACTATAGTTGTACATACATAGAAGTAGATTAGAAATATATTCCAGCGGAGATAATATAAGTCCCAGGGACTCCTTTCACGAAGCAACCTTTACTAAGGTTGACCTTAACTCCCATTCTTTAACATTGCACTGATGTTACCTTAGTGACTTACGATCACCTTAGTGCTTTGTGAAAGGAGGCCTTGTTTGACGCATCCAAACTGCGCAGGTCGATGCTCATGACGCCAATCACTGGATTGACTGGTCCAGACTCGACTATAACCAGACCAAGTGACGTTATATAGCTGGAAAGTGCTGAGTTCAATACATATAAGAACAAACAATCACAAATGAATGAATTCGTATTGCTACTGCCACATTAGATAGTTTTCGGAAGTATTCGTGCCAGCTTCATACATTCATGGTAAGACTGAAATCATATGGTATCTTTTTCTTCTTTTATAGTGGATTAGAGAGAAGGAAGATATTATGTATATCGGGTTGTCCTCCCATCAGACCGTTTGCTGTACAATAATGGGAAGAAGCTATAATACTGCTGGACGTATGCACACCCCTTAATACCTCTTTTTGATTTATTCGAATATTATGAAAAAAGAAATCGCGTCGCATGTACTTGCAAGTTCCTTACACCAGAAAGGCTTATCGATCGCGGTCTCCGGCACCTAGCCTTATATAAAGGAAACGATGTCCTAAACGCAGAAACTGTGGTAATGCTACAAATTTAAAAACTTGAATTCTGGTCATGTTGTCATATTTGCTATTGAAATTATAGTGAATTTCTGATCGACCAGTGTAACACACAGCTTACACCGCTTCATACTACGTAATAGTACTGTTGATACTGTTTTGGTGATATTATTCACGAGGGGTTTTGGGATACGTTTTGCAAGGTTTTTGGGTATAGCTATTATTTGTTACCTGAGTTGGCACTCCATGGGCTTTTCAGGGATCCAGTACTACCTGGACTAGTTGAGTACAATGGGGGATTGTGTGTATTTAGTTTTAATTCCGCCCATCACTGTTACTGTTTCTCTTTACTCAGACATTACATACGTTTGTATGGAAATGAATATTTGCAAATCGACTGATGCGACATGAATAAAATCGACAGAAACATTTTCATATTAATAAAATATATCTCTAGTAGTATCATGCTCTAGGATGAGCACATGTTTATGAAGCACTCAAACAGACATGAAAGCTGGTTTTCACGAATAGATAAGCGTACCCTGACCCACCTGTGGTGCCTGTAGCAAACACACGCAAAGGCAAATCAATGGTTCACCTGAAAATAATGCGAGGAGATTTCATTACTCAAAGTCAAAATGAAGAATTAAAGGTCACTGATGCATCAAATTTCTTATTGTCCTCCACATGTCTACCATAAAATGTTTAAAACAATTACTATGACCTTGACCGTGGCAACCCTGGTGAATCAACATAAAACTTTTGTTTTATTGCAGCGGAGATGGTTAAAAAACAACAACATAATG